CGAATCTCTTCACCCAACACTTTCACTCGAAATGGAAGTAAGCTCAACAATTATGAAACAGGAGATTCCTTGAAACCCAACTTTTCTTCGCATATATTAAAATATTTCCTTTTGGGTCTAAAGATATTGTGCATTTTATGCCTGTCGTAATAAGTGTGACATTCATAGTATTCCGATTGTTTCGTAGCTTAATTTATTATTTCTATTGTTAGACCTTGTTTTCGCAACTTGGTCATATTGGTGGGAACGCACCTAGTCCGGAGTCCATTGTATGCATAATAATTTCCAAAGTCGGACCGTGGACGTGGTACATTCCCAGACGCTTCGCTTACATCGTAGTCGGCATCGTCAGTGAGTCTTGCCAATCTTATCACCATATTACAACTTGTCAAAGGGACAAGTGAAGCCGATCCCTTAACAAAATGTGTACTAAATAGTTGTGGTATCTCTTGTCCTGGGCTATTCGCCTCTCCTATATCATTGTATCACGCCTTCATTATCACTATATTTTTTTCCTTGCTTATTTAAATGTAGTGTGGTGTGCCCTTTTTGAGCGGCTTTCATGAGAACCCTCCACTCTCCACGCTGACGCTCTCGCCGCCCTTTATCTTTGTTTTGTGAATGTTGATTCGAGTCTGCCATATTGTTCCATTCGTCCTCCTTCCCTAGGCCTTTTAAGGGTCTCACTCTTGCCCCATAGGATCCGTCTGCTATCTCCCTGGTTTAAATATTTAATTCGACTCCTGTCACCTATCTGTCCTACTCGAGGCGTTATTATACCTCCCCTGCGGCTGGGTGACTAATTCGGGGCCAAAGCCTTATGGCCAAACCTTTGCTACATGGACCACCTCTATCGTAAAACATGCCTACTATCAGCCAACTAGCTATAGTCTCCACCGCGTCAATCCTGTTTCTACCCCTAACACCAAGTCTATGATTTGCTACGCCAAAGTCTCTTGTGTGCCAACCCACAAATGTTGTACCAAGTTAATGTCGAACTTGGTACCCTAACCCTAACCATAGACGCTGTCCCTGTAGCAAAGGCTTGACAATGAGACTTACTTAGAGGCTTTGGCTTCCAATTAGTTACCCAGACGTAGGTGAGGCGTGATAACGCCTCGAGTAGCACAGATGGGGTGACAGGTGTCGAGTGAAATACTTGAACCAGGGAGATTGCAGACGGATTCTACGAGGCAAGAGGAAGACTCTGATAAGACTTAGGGACGAAGGACTGTGTAAAAATAAGGCAGACTTTGATCAACATTCCTAGAACAAGGGTGAAGAAAGCCGCTCAAAAAGGGTAGACATTTAAATAAACAAGGAAAAAGAAAAAATAGTGATATTGAAGTCGTGATATGAGGATATAGGAGAGGTGAATAGCCCAGGACAGAAGGAAGATGATACCACAACTGTCTAGTACTCATTTGGTAAAATGATCGGCTTAACTTGTCTCTTTGAGGAGTTGTAGTATGGCGCTTAGACTGACGATGCCGTCGAAAAGTCTGGGAATCTACCACGTCCACGCTCCGACTTTGGAAATTATCATTTATACAATGCACCTCGGACTACGTGCATTCCTCTGAGCCTTCAAAGTTGCGAAAGCGAGGTAAACCAACTTATATATAACGAAAGGAGAGACTGCGACCAGACAAAAGGCCACACCATCTTGGTCTTTATATCTTCGATTCATTTATTATTGATAGCAAATCCTCTCTTAGCGCACATTTGAGACCAAAAATAAAAAAACATTGACTATAATCATCAGAAAGTTACACTTAAATTTAAGCCTTCTTTTTGATAAATCCAGCCATCCTTTTATTCCTTTCTTAGCTTCCAAGCCGACTCACTTTTTAATCCATGTCATCAGTTTGCTGATCTAGTTATCCAAGGAGAAATATGCTCTAGTGCTGATTCCGTAAAGTCGGCTCGCAGTGCTTATCAAGCTTTGTCATTCGACCAACGCCAATTTACTATGCATCTCATCCTTAATGCCTGTCCGCTTCGTTCCAATATTGAAAAGTTGGCTAGTGGCTGCAATGGCACTGGTGAAGCTGCATCTACTTCGGCTGAAGATGCAGTGAAGATCTTGGAAGCTCTTGAGCAGGCAATTCATCCCTCTGTTGAAAACAATGCAGAACTGCGATTTCTGTACGTTGCTATTTCTTTCCGTTTGATATCTACTTCATTTTAACTATTGAGTGGGCTGGTTAAAGGGATAAAGCTATGATAATTATGTTATATCGATTTTGTTTGGGTTTACGTTTTTTATTGTTATTTATTATATAAATAGCACATTTTACGATCTTTTATTTTCATTGGCTTAGATTTTGAAACTACATCCCGTTCTCAACTCCTATTCATGAGCTTTTGAGTATATCAAAACTCGATACAAAAATATACATATATTTGGATGATTTTCCCTTGTATTGCGAATGTCTCTTCCGAAGTTTCCAATCCTTTACATCAATCCTCGTTGAACAATTGGTTTGCTGAATCTTATCGGTATCAGCTTTTCTATTCATCTCTACCTCTATTGTTGCGAATACGATGGTTTGGATTACGATGCCTATTTACTATTCAAATATAATTGTATCTAGTTCAAGTGCAAGTGGAGGCTCTGTAGATGCATCCTTGCCAAATATAAAGAGATGTTTAGCGCCAAAAAATTAATGAGTCTAATAGCCCTCTTGTTTAAATTTTAGATTTTCAAGAGGGCAAACATATCTCACAGTCAATAACATTCTATTAGGTATTATAATCTAGATTAATATACTGACGTAACTGGTTCGATTAAAGCTATATTCCATCCTGGTTGAGAATGCTATTTAGGCGGAAATTCCAATATGGTGGCCAGTGAGGATTTCTTGTCATTTAATCATGGAAGTCCAACTATTAGGCCTTCTTTTTTTTGAATGTATGAAGCCAAGATAGTGTATCCTTTTGTGTTGTCGCAGTCTCCTTTCGTTGTAAAGCAGTTGTTTGACCTTGTTTTCGCAACATGGTCATATTGGTAGGAAGACTTAGAGGAAATCACCTAGTCCGGAGTCCATTGTCTCCATGATCATTTTCAAAGTTGAACCTTGGACGTGGTACATTCCCAAACGTTTTGCCGGCATCTTTATTGAGTATCGCCATTCTTAGCACCATACAACAACTCGTCAAAGAGACAAATGAAGCCTATCCTTTGACCAAACTTGTGCTAAACAATTGTGGTATCTCCCCTTCTGCCCTTGGTTATTCGCGTTTCCGGTTTCATCCTATCATGCCTTCACTATTACAATTTTTACCGTGTTTATTTAGATAGTGTGGTGTGCTCCTTTGATCGACATGAAACCTTCATACTCCAAATGTCGCTCTCCCCCTCCCTTTCACCCTTGTGCAGAGAATGTTGATCAGAGTCTGCTTATTATTATGCAGTTCTCTTTCCTAGTCTTATCCAAGTCCCTCTTCCTCCGTAAAATCCGTCTGCTCTACCCCTTGTTCACCTATTTCACTAGACTCCTGCCACCATATCTGTTCTACTCCTTTGGGAATGTACCACATCCACGGTTCAACTTTGTAAATGATCATGCAGACAATGGACTCCGGTCTAGGTGCGTTCCTCTACTCTTCATACCAATATGAGCATGTTGCGAAAATAAGGTCAAACAACTTCTTTATCGGGCCTTGCATTATCGGTATTTTTGAAATTTGCTTATTATGTATGTGCGACTGTAAAATTAAAATTGTATTAGCTATCAAGTTATCCTACAGTTGGCATTGATCTGATTCACAAATAACAGTCGGTTAGGAAACTTAGGTTAAGTTCTAAGTTAACCAGAGGTCTTAATGACGATTCAAAATACTTTGATTCTTGTACTTATTACCCTATCTTGGAGACAACTTACACAATATATTTTGAATTTATCTGCAAAAGAGACTTAGTAGCCATATTGTTGTGAGACTTTACTTTTATATGAAAGTGCATGAATAAGAGATTCGTAGTTCGATCTTACCAGACGACAACAGCTGATTTTCGTACTGCAGTCGTTTGGCTTTAATGTGAAGTTCAGGTTGGCGCAGTCCACGAAACATCCTCTCTTGTTTAGGGTACAAACG